ACCTGAAGTAACTGTTATATCAGATTAAACATGAGAGAAAAAAAAAAATCAGTGTGTAGTTTGGTCTGCTGCAAACTGTTGTTGGAGTACAAAAAAGATCAAAGGGTACGGCAGAGAGAGGCAGAGTGATATTCGATTAATTGGCTCTCATTGAATAAAACAGCTTCATAGATTTGATAGGCTAAATGATCTACTCTGCACTGTGACATTTCATGACTAAACAGTACGCTCAACTAGTTAACAACTTCATGGAAAGAACACAATATTTAACAAGGTATTTGGAAAACCTATCACCGCCTGCCCACAAATACAATCTACACTCAGACATCTTTTGTTCTGGGATAGAAAGTTAGAGCTTTGCGAGTCTAATGCTGTTGTCTTTCAGGATACATCTTTCGCTCCCCTTCCCCTGCCTGCCCCTCCCAATGGGGGGAGGGAGGGGCGTTAGAGGTTGACTGCATGTGACAATATTGTAAATGTATTCAAAAACAATATGCTTTAAATTTCACTGTATGTAATTCTCCCTCCGTTCTCCAGATTAGAAGAGACTACAACAATCCATTTTTTGGGGTTTGTTTTTTAACCTTGTTTTGTTCAGTAGGGTAGAATAGTTAATTATATAACCTATAAAATAATGGATGATCAAAGGATAAAGTACCATCTTTGTATTAAACTAAATATACTTAGATTCTTGCGTTATAGTGATATAGTAGTGATTGATCTGGACTATCATTTCCAAAGTCATGAGTTTTAAATTCTGTTGTGGCAAATTTTGGATTTAATAATTGGGCTGACATCAGGAAAATGGCCGTGAATGCTGACAGACTGTTGTTACAATCCAGTGTAAACCTCTTCAGTGAATGGGAGTTTGCCACTCCCTGCTGGCCTGGCCTTTGTGGGCCTCTGGACCACTCATAATGATTGACATTTAATAGTCTAGTAAGACACTCAGTCAGACAAACCATAGCTAATGGACAGGCCATAAACACAACCTCGTCAGTGTCTTCCACATCACACGAGCAATCCTTTTAAAAAGTTAGGATTGTTCATGGAAACTGCCGCTCAACTGCATCCTTGGATATTTTTTATTTTACATGTGAATATTTTGCCTCAAATGACATTTGGTCATATTTTACTTTTATTTATTCTGAAATAGACTTCAGGAAAATGGGGAGGGGCCAAAGTCTAATGAGAAATTGACATACATCAATATTTCATAGGGGACAGACAAAAAGTAATAATCATCAACTCCAAAATTTTGCTTTTCCAGAACCAGTACGACTTCCACATGGTCAGTTAGCTCAGTTTCCTAGATGGCTGGTTTGCAGTGTGGAATGCTGCTAACAACATGAGTTCAATTCCTACATCAGCTGAGATTGCTATGAAAGACTCTCCTTCTCAATGGGGAGGTTACGGCCTAGTGGTATTATCATTGGACTGTTATTCCAGAGACCCAGATAATGTTCTGGAGACCTGGGTTTGAATCCCGCCACGGCAGATGGTGGAATTTGAATTCAATAAAAATCTGGAATTAAGAATCTAATGATCACCATTGCTGATTATCAGGAAAAACCCATCTGGTTCACTAATGTCCTTTAGGGAAGGAAACTGCCATCCTTACCTGGTCTGGTCTACATGTGACTCCAGACCCACAGCAATGAGGTTGACTGTTTACTGCCCTCTGAGTAATGAATGCTGCCTAGCTAGTGATGCTCTCATCCTGTGAATGAATAAAGAAAAAAAAACCTTTCCCCTCATCTGAGGTATGGTGATCCTCAGGTTAAACTACCACCAATTCTCTCTCTAATGAGACAGCAGGACCATGGTGACTTTACCTTACTCTTCACATGGACTGGTTTAAAAAATAAATCACACTTAGCTGCCAAATATTAATAAATGCCTTAGTTATATGTGCTTTTAAAAGTGGTCTATGCTAACCTTGTGAGAGCTGTAGTAAAATCTTGCATTAATACAGGGATAAAAATCTAACTCTAGTTTTTAATACCTTTCTCACCACTTTATCAATTTTCTTTGCTCCTTCCTGTAGCCATTAACTTGTACCAGGGTCTACAGATAGCTCCTATGAAGCTCTATTGAACTAGTCATGTGTCAGCCTGGACAGTGATTGTTGGTAGATCATTTACCTGTTTGATGGCGTAGTGATAATGTCACTGGTCTAATAATCTAAGCCAATACTCTCAGGACACAAGGTCAAATCTCACCACAGTACTTGATGGAATTTGAATTCAATCTGGAATGGAGAGCTGTGGCCAAGTAACTATATAAAAAAAACAAAAGAACTGTGGATGCTGGAAATCAGAAACAAAAGCAGAAATTGCTGGAAAAGCTCAGCAACATCTGTGGAGAGAAATCAGAATTAACGTTTCGGATCCAGTGACCTTTCTTTAGAACTCAGTTCTTAGGCTTACGCTCCTTAAACACAGGGTTAGGAGAGTTCTGAGGAAGGGTCACTGGACCCGAAACATTAACTCCTATTTTCTCCCCACAGAGGCTGCCAGACCTGCTGAGCTTTTCCAGCAATTTCTATTTTTGTGTCAAGAAACAGTCATTGATTGTTGTAATTAGCCATGTGGTTCACTAATGAGCTTTAGGGAAAGAAACCTGCACTCCTTACCTATTTGATCTACACAGGAGTGTACTGACTCCTAACTATTCTCTAAAGCAGCCTGATGAGCCATTCAGATCAAGGTGAGATGGGCAACATAAAGTGGACTTGTCAGAGATGCCCACATCTGATGAAAGAATAAATTTGAAAAAAAAAATGATGTTATTGGAGGGGAATCTGAGTCTATTCATTCAAAAGCACACAATTGCACTTTCCAATCAGTAGGAAGTCACAGGATAGAAACCAGAAATTATGTATCCCTGCAGTGAGGATAATTATTGTCCCTGCAACTGCGGGTTTAGGAGAGATCAGCTCATTTAGCACAGGTGGGGAATGGAACCTGGGGTTTTCTGGGTCTGTGTAGCACAGTTTCATAGGCTCACTGAGCCAAAAAAGAATCTGTACGTTTTCAAGGTTGGATATCTTTGTTTTGGATAGTCTGTGGGAACCACTCATAAATTGCTTAAAACACTTAAATCACACATTTTCAACTGGCACGATATAGACGTTCCCCAATCATTGGCCCTCAATACTCACAATTCCCTTCATAACATTCATCGCTGGAATTTTATGAACACGTGCTGACATTTCCCATTCGGACATACACAATTCAAAATCCCGAAACTAAAATAGTACTTGGAGGGTGAAGTGATTAAGTTTGCTTTTACGGACGGAAAGTGGGAGCGCAAACACACTCTCTCGCAAGGTCACAGAGGTGTGACGCTTACCTCCTCAGCTCCAGAAATAAAAAAAACTTAAAACAGACGAGATTGATTAATGGAAAATACTGTATTGTTCACATAGGAAGACATTCTAGGCTCACCAGTCACAAAGTCAGTCCAACCTGTGCAGAGGTGAGGGAAGGGAGAGGCAGGAGCGATGGGGGAGGAGAAAAATAACTGAGGCATAGGTGGAAGATGAAGTGTGTGTAAGCTCTGGTCTCAGAAAGCATTGTCACAGAATCAAGAAGAACAACATATTTAAAAAAAAAACACCCCTTGTACAAAAATATCCAGTGGCTCACAACCGCAATCACAGTCTGATCTTACGCAAACATTCACAAAGAATAAAATTAATTCTGTTGAACAGGTGAGGTGTGGTTAGGGGCAAAGAAGTTTTCTTTCAAAACGCATTGATGTTCAACAGAATACACTTTTTTTTTGATCTGCTACCATGCTTGTGTTCCATCTTTACAAAATAAAGGCAAACCAAAAAAAAATACATATGGACTGTACAAAATTAGCACGACTGCTTTAGAATTACACTGCTTTTGTTTTTCACTGACAAAAGAAAAACACTTTTTTTTTACATACAGAGGTATTCAATTACAATTATATTACAAAGACATCATACCTATTTCGCCAGAAAGCTTGAAAAGATTTTAGCCAGCTAACTATTAAAATCTGCTAAAGTGCTGAAAAGTACTTTGTAATCTACAAGATAAACTAATTATACATCATCAGCAGGTAATGATGGGATGCTGATCTTCGCCCTGGTGAAAAATGCAATCTTCTCCCTGAAATTGACAGATAGAGCAACAGTTTATTTTGTGCTATGCATTACGTTTGCCCCCACCGCAACTGTAGTGACACCCTTCACTCAGATAGTTATAGATTCAAATCACAGCCAATGTGAGACTCGAGCACTCAATCCAGGTTGATGTTTCCTGTGGCAACAAGGTGCAGGACTGGATGAACACAGCAGGCCAAGCAGCATCATAGGAGCAGAAAGGCTGACGTTTCGGGCCTAGACCGAAGTGGAGCTCGAACAGTTCATCCACTTCACTAACACCTTCCACCCCAGCCTTAAGTTTACCTGGACCATCTCTAATACCTCTCTCCCCTTCCTGGACCTCTCTGTCTCCAT